GCTTTAATCAATATTTCAGTGACATCACAGCTTTGCAGCTTTATCTGTGAGGTCACGGTGTTTTCTGCTTTCGGGAGAGCCACGAGCACGGGCATGATCCCGCCAAACCAAGGGTCATAATCGAAGCGTCCAGAAGCAGCGCACAGTGGGTTTGGTGGAAATGTTCACCCATCAACATCTGCGTATAAGATAGGATCATTGGTTACATGAATCCAAGACCTTCAGTTTGAGGTGCGGTAGCCTAGTGGTTAATGGGTTCGCTCGTTACGTTGAAGACCCGGGTTCGATTCCCCTCATGGGTACAATGTGTGAAGCTCAGTTTTGGTGTACCCCGCCGTGATATTGCTGGAATATTTCAAAAGCGGCAAAAAGCGTAAAACAAAACTCAGTTAGGGACCGTTCATAATTTATGTTGTTGTTGTTTTGTTGTTTTTTGTTTGTTTGTTTTTGTTTTGTTTGTTGTTTGTTGTTTTGGTTTTGGGAGAGAAGGAATGATGATGGGGAGAAGACCATTTTGTTCTGAGCCAGGGGTCATCAATTTTGTACACATATACTGGGGGCATAAATATTGTACATAAAATATATGTTTATGTTTAAATTTATGCTTAGAAATTATGGGAAGGGGAGGGGGTGATTTTGTACATGACATGCAGGGGGGTGGTACCTATTTTGTACATATATTTAGAGGGGTCATTCACATTGTACATGCTACTCCATAAAAATCATCATCATCCCCCCTAGCCATAAATTATGAACGGTCAGTTATTCTTACACGCTTCTCCACAAAGTATTTCTAACAAAAAAATAACGAGTGATTGAGTTTAATTTTACGCCGCATTGTAGCAATATTCCAGCAGTATCACAGATGAGGACACCAGTAATGAGGTTCACACTTTGCACCCATGTGGGGAATCGAACCCGGGTCTTAAGCGTGACGAGCGAACGCATTAACCACTAGGCTACCCCACCGCCTCCCAAAACATGACGAAGAATATGTACACCGAAGTGTACCTTCCAGATCAACCTACGCCTTTTGAGGTACTCTTTGCCTAATATAGTAGAGCCACACATTTGTGATATCGCTATCTCAAGAATTATCGTCGAAACAAACACGAAGCTTTACATATTTGCGTTTGAGCAGAAAATGAAGCCACTCAATCGGATAAAAATGTGACGTCATAATCGTCCTTGGGTAAACCCTATCTAGGGAATGTTGTCTCGTTAAGTCAATATCGCGGACATCTAAGCGGTATTTATTGCCCTGCCTTTTGACGCCATATTGAGATAAGAACTGCACAAAATAAGGGAGATAATCATATAACTTCCTGTGAATGCTTTGCTCCTGATGTTTTGCTTTGAACCTAAAACTGGCAATGGTCCAAATTTTTTGAAAACCTGTTGATTAAACCATATTTTTGAGATAAGGACGAAGGTCGCAGGTATCATATCTCAGATTTATCAAACCCTCTACATGTTTTGTTCCAACTGAAGATGTAAACTCATCGGATGAAGTAACGTCTCATCGTAACATCGTTGCTCATCTTAAAGGTTTGGGGTTTTTTCAGTTTCAATCAATATTGAATTCATCGAACGAATTCTCTGCCACTAGTGCCAACTCTACTTCAAACGATAGCAGAATTTAGAACGATCAACACGATTATAGGTAAGGGTCCTCGAAAACTTGAACGCGTTTCAAAGACTTAGTGGGAAGTCATATCAAATGCAAAATGCATCGATGGTGTGATACAAAGTGAGAGAAAAAACGAATCCACACTAGGGTCAGTTGGTAGTCAAGAAATGAAGAACTGGGTTCGGCCTTCCACTCGGCCTTTCACACCTTCACTGGTGTTATTAGAGATAGACATCAAGAACATTTTAAGTGCGAGGCTTATTAAATTGGGAATTTTTAAACTTAAATTCAAATTTGCCACATATGCACAGATATGATGATGGATTGGCCGCTGTAGACTAACGCTTTGCTGAGTCTCTGAAAATACATAATTTTGACGGACAGAAAGTACTCCATCTGAACAGATAATGAGCTTGAGGAGAGAGAGAGAGAGAGAGAGAGAGAGAGAGAGAGAGAGACACAGAGAGAGACAGAGAGAGAGAGACTTTGGAAAATCTAGTAGGGCTTTTGCATTGCAGTAAGGGCTGGTGGAACGGGAAGTGGTATGGTTCAGGGACAGCGGGAGACAGTATGGTTGTTCCAGCTCTGGTATCGCGTGTAAAGAGATAGTTCCATTGCGCCGTGTGCTGGTCTACCAGTCTGGTATCGCTGAATGGTTTTCTGTAATGACGACGTATTGGACTCCTTATAAACAGTCGACGCCAGACAGCGACCAACCAGATCCCACCATGACACCAACATTATCTCATCCTTGACAATGTCGCTGATCTATACACTTGAAGTGTCATGCTATGACAGCTTAATTATGGTAATATGAAATAATCGGAGGTTCCAAACCCTTTTCTAAGTAGTCCAGCGTTCCTGCTTTCTGCATATTTTCCCAGATACACTTGGAACTTACCAATGAGCAAATATATACTCATGCCAATAATGGTTGTCACCCCCCTCCACCCCCCTCCACACCTCAGCCTCGTCCAACACCCCCTCTCCAATTAAAAAAATTGAAGGGGGTGACAACCATTATTGGCATGAGTATATCATTATATCACCTCAAGTTTATTTTCGTTAGTTTTGGGGCACAATTACACCGACGATGTTGAGTTTCTTTAGCACTCCCATCGTCATTAAAATGAAGCCAGCAAAGCTATGAAAAAAGTAGATTATCTGATAAAATCACGTTCCAAATTTCTTTGTCTTTCTAAAATATGTAGCATATACATTCTCGGTTACGTCTGGGAATAATATATCAGCAAAAGATAACTTATAACTTTCATCTATAAAAACATATCCAATTACTTCGTGCATCGCTCAGTCAATATCTTGGATTATTGAGAAGAAATGAACACGCACAACTGTATGCTCTTATCGAAGAGAACGTCACGTCAAAGAAGTCTTTTCTGGTTTTAAAATACATGCAGCATCCAAAGAGTTCCCGATGTAATCCTTCCACGCATATGTTCCAAATGAAACCAGACATTTGCTGACTTGTCGACTGATCTTACTAAAACGCTAGTCTTTGATTGCTAACTCAATTTCACTCCACTTTATCAACCGCCATCATAGAACTATAACGAACAATCTCCGTACTTCCTCCTCAAGGTAGTGGAGAGTGATTGTCAATCGATTTTCAGAAATTCCACTTATAAGCCGGAGAGATGTTGTCTAGTATATTCTCGACCACTTGTCTAGACATCGATTAAGTAGCTATCTTCACACTACGTCCCTTGGTCCTCACGATTACCCAAATCAAGAAGCAAACCAGGGGAGAAAAGCCTTACACGAAATTTGATTATTTAAACGATTTATCGTAAGTGTATTGATTGAACATTATCCGCGGGGATAAATCTGCAGCTAACTAAGATGGCCGCCAAACGACGCTGAAATCGCCGTGGCGCCGAAGGTGCATTATAACACAATCAGTCCCATTTACAAGGGATCCTATCGTAGTTACGCTTCATTATTGTCTTGACTGGCCACATAGATACTTACTGTTCATCCGTGCTGTATACTCACCGTTTAATCCTGAACTATCAGTGAATATCACGGTTACAATTGCAACAGTCTGTATAAGACGTCGACGCCATGGAATAATCCGTGTCGTTTATCTGCCAAAATAAATTCTGTTGGGCGTAAGACTGAGTGAGTGAGTCAGGTTTTAGGCCGCTTGTAGCAATATTCCAGCAATATCACGGCGGGGAACTCCAGAAATGGGCTTCACACATTGTAGCCATTTTGGGAATCGAACCCGGGCCTTCGACGTGACGAGCAAACGCTTTAACCACTAGGCTACCCCAACGCCCCGCGTTGGAGGCTAAACAGGAGGGAATATTTGTCATGACGTAGATCGATGCTCATGATATCAGTCAATGGATTGTCAAATGGTCAGAATAATTCCCCAGACGTCTATGCTGTCGACAGGGGCGACGTAAAGGATCAAGTGGTCAGACTTGAGAGGTCACCGCACCCTGAAGACGAAGACCGTTGCTCATGATATCAGTCACCGGTTTCTCTCATATTTATCGTTCTCATATAGCTGGTATACTGCTAATTGCTGCGTTAAACGAAAATAAAACACTATTCGAAATATCTTATGTCCGAAACGGAATTGTAACTGAAGCAGTCGTCAAGTCTCTATTTCAATCGGATCTTACGTATTGGTACCATGGGTGACACATTTGGGTGTTTAACTACATGTAAATGTATGTACAACCACTCAGAATCACTCGGGTTTTCCCACACACATAACCAGATGATGTTCATGAAATAGTTTCACAGAAAGATGTTCCAAATGCCTATTTTGAAAACGTATTTCTATGTCTTTAACATAAAGCCAGGAATACATAATTCAGATCTGAACAAAGGATAAAAAGGAAAGAGTATGCAACATATACAAATCCACGACAGCTTGTAGATTCCATTATGTCATGAGAAAAGCGCGTGAACGAAACAAGCTACCCGTGAAGATCCGGGTTAGAATTGGTCTTCAGTAACCCATGTCGAAAGAGGCGTGGTCAGGCTCGCTGACTTGGTTGACACAAGTTATCGTAACCTAAATGCGTAGATCGATGTTCATGCTGTTGATCACTGTAACATCTGGAACAGATCCTGTTATAAACAGACCACCGTCATTCAGCTGGAATATGAAGTGCGGCGTTGAACAACAAACAAACAAACAAACAAACGAAGCAGGCCTCAATGTGACGTGAATATTGAGTCGACTGCATGCGCACCAAAAGTACGGAAAACCAGTTAGGTAGTCTCCCATAATACTGCCTACGCGCCGTTCTCTGAAACCATTCCATACACTTCCCAGTCCGCTGACAGCGTATGCCCGTTATCTCAACCTCCGCAACATCAACAGGTGGGCGACCAAGAATATCCCGGTCAGCTCGTGAAGGTAGGTATTTGTATCTACAAAAAACGATTTCCTCTCCCTATGTGTTTACTGCCCACTGATGGCCAATTATTGGATGTAATAAACAGATCGCAGGAACCTACAAGCAAACAGGATGTTTCACCAAAATCGCACATGTGACCTTGACTATGATAGCTAATCTAGAAGGTCGAAAATACACGAGTGCTTGCGTGAGTGACAAGTCGTCGGCTTACAGGGCACAGTTTTGCTAAAGGCGAATTATATTGCCATGGACTTTGGGTAGTGACTGAATGAAAAAGTGAGTGAGTCCATAGGACGTTGAATAGATCGCTGAAACAGTGGAAACACTTGGTCTTCTTGAAAATGGTAAGCATTTATTGCTCGTCCGGGAACAACTATAGCACGTGTTATTTTCCCACTTTCGATAGAACAGAATCACTATAATGTGGCTGATTTAGTGTCATCGTACACCGACAACGCTATGTGTTCATTCTATCGACCACCAGTTTCTCGAACCCAATACCACATTTCACATGTGTAAACCGCATACAAGCATTCATTATCGTTGTGATTACGCATCTAGTGATTAAGGTAGACTTTCTGTTGCCTACATTTGCATCCTTGTGGGAGAATTTTTCCTTCTTAGACCAGCACGCTAATGGTGTAACAAAACTCTGCTTCCAAGCAATACAAAGAGTTTCTAAATGTGTTCCATTTTCATTGAATTTCCGTTTATTGCTCGACATGCTACATGCGGTTATATATTGACGAGCACAATGCAGCATGTTTTGGAACATGTAATGCGCATTGCACCAGGCACTAAACTCCTAAAAGCTTTTAACATCTTATACACATCCCCTCATCAGTATAACATGTCAGCCTGAACCAAAGTCAATACCATCAGCTGATGCTATAAACAAGTGAAAAACCTTCCTGTGGAGGTAATGGTGGTGATTCAGCTCAGGCCACAACATGTTCATTATTTGTGCTTAGGATGATGATAATGATGCTAATCGTGATGATGATGATGATGATGACGATGATGATGACGATGATGATGACGACATCGACGATGATACTGGTAGAGCTACAGTTGATGATGCTTATGGTGATGATGATGATGATGACGACTACAACGACGACGACGACGACGACGACGATGATGATGGTGATGAGTGAGTGAATTTAGTTTGGCGCCGCTTTTAGCAATATTCCAGCAATATCACGGCGGGGGACACCAGAAATGAGCTTCACATATTGTACCCTGCTGATGATGATGATGATGATGATGATGATGATGATGAGCAGGGGTAGGGAGAGAAGGTGTAGGCAGAATTGCCCCGAGGAATAATTAAGGAAACGAGTGATTGAGTGAGTAAAGTTTTACGCCGCTTTTAACAACATCACAGCCGTATGACGACGGGGAACACGAGACATCGGCTTCACACATTGTACCCATTACAAAAGTCGAACCCGGATCTTCAGAGTGACGAGCAAACGCATTAAATACTAGGCTACCCCTCCGCCCTCAACAAAACAAGAAAATGCCACACGGTGACCACGAAATGTTCGTTCCATGGCTATGTATAGTTCAATACAGTGTACATCAAGCGAATGAGGGAATGTTGTTTTACGTCAGAGTGAGTGAGTGAGTATGGTTTTACGCCGCTTTTTAGCGATATTCCAGCAATATCACGGCGGGGGACACCAGAAATGGGCTTCACACATTGTACCCATGTGGGGAATCGAACCCGGGTCGAACGCTTTAACCACTAGGCTACCCCACCGCCCCGTTTTACGTCAGAGCTTTAACCACGGCGGTTAATAAACCAACGGTTGATATCACGAGCAGCGATCCACTCGCGGGTTCCCACTAATCAATGCGTAATACATTGCCATCCCTTCCTCACTTCAGTCGACAGGCGAATGATTCTGGGAACTTATCTATCCCTGAAATCTTTATTTAGCCTCTGGAATATTTCCAGAAAAGAAAACATGAAAACACAGTTTATGATTATATTAGATAAAAGAGTAAAACACCAGCTTCCACTGATCACCATATCAACATGCTTTTGCCCAACATTAACTGCCGACGGCCCATCCTAGTGATACTGACCCCTACATACCTACTGCATATGCATTCTGAGGTCATTTCATGCCCAGATAGACAGCAACTGCCGCTACAGAGGTAAACATGTCAATTTCAGCATGTACATCGCTAATTTATAGCTCGGCAAGGCTCATAGCGTACATCCACTCTTGCCACAACTGTTGTTTACATGTAGGAAATATGATATATTTTCACCTCCAGCAGTTCACGCATCAGCGTCGGTGTTAAACCGGGAGTGATATAAGTACATTCGCTGATCACTCAGGCCACAAGTTACCCGTTCGTTCCGAAAAAAGCTAATGAGAAAATAGTTATGATGAACGCTGAGTATATGTCGAGAAGAATGATAATGGGTTTATTATGACATAGGTTAAAAGTTCAATACCTATCAGTAGACCTATTTCCGCATACACGTTCGCAACAATTCAAAGCGCATGTTTTTCGGTAACGTTGCGTTAAAACTGTGGCTGTCTTTAGATAAAGAACACAGAGAGATAGACATAGCTTCCCGTTCGGAGGGAAAGTAACACGTACATTCATATCTAGTTATAATGAAGGCTTCATGCAGCAGAAAGACATCGGCATTTAAACCAGTGAAGTGAAAACCAGACCTTACTCACGATGATATGTATAGAAGATAAAATGATAAATGTATCTAAGCTTCTTAAAAAGGATTTCGTCATAAACACCAAAGTAATTTGTTTGTTATTTTGAGATGATTCTTTGAAGGTAAGATGCGAAAACAACAGATAATTACTTTGTTTTAAAAAGAAGACTTCTTTGCATTTTTCTATTCAGTTTTCTTCAATGTTATTTTCTAAGCACACAACGCATGGGAAATAGACCCCGGGTCTTCAGCGCGACGAGTGGACGCTTTAACCTCTATAACACACACACCACCACCACCACCACCCCACACACCCCCACACACACACTCCATCTCTTACCCACCCCACCCCACCCCCCAAGTTTAAGAACAAATGCCATTTTAATGGATAAAATGGTAACGACGTCCCTGACAAATATTAGCATTGCATTATAACCAGGGTGGCATTACAACCAGAAACCTTTGCGATATGGAAATCGGTTCTGAGAAAGACATGGCGTTATAAGCAAGATGGCAAAATAACTAGTGGCACTTTCGACCAAGAAAGAATGCATCAGTTTGTCTTGAAGGTCTGAATTGTGGATGTTTCAGAGATAATAATATGACGGAACGATGTTCACATCCGGCTCCACGTAGATAAACGAGAAAGAGAGACAAAAAGGGGAACGGTGACAAAAACGCCGCCATCAAGTCAAGTAAAAACCAGTAATTTTCATGTACAAATTACGTCTTAATCACTGTATAGATTCGTTTAAGTAAGACAAAGTAAAGGGACACCCTCATTTATCATAAAAAGGACCAAATGTTTTTAAGTCAAACCAAACTTGCATTGGGGAATTGGTTGAAATCTCATAATTGATGATTGCTTCATTACCAACGAACAATCATCGATAAAAATTGGTTAGCGTCAATTTTCAGATTTTCCTATCCAGGTTGTTATTGCAGATATGTATAACATGATGCACCTTGCTACTTTAAAGTGATGTTGATATATCATGAACATAAACCTTCTGGGGTCTTCAAGAAATATTCAGTCATGACTTTTCAGTTAGTGAAGTGAGTTTTCTAAGAATTAAACAAGTTTTCAGGCCCTGACAACTTCGAAGTTATGTTCCATCGTCAAGTGTTTCAAAGACTAAAACAGCAGTTCCAAAATCGTTTGTGTTCGATTATGAGAAAATGTGATCGATTGCTTGGTCGTTTGGTCACTTCGACCAATCTTCGATTATTTCAATTAATCGGAACACCACTCATTCCAGCTATACGGCGGCGGTCTGTAAATAATCGAGTCTGGACCAGACAATCCAGTGATCAACAGCATGAACATCGATCTACGCAATTGGGATACGATGACATGTGTCAACCCAGTCAGCGAGTCTGACCACCCGATACCGTTAGTCGCCTTTTACGACAAGCATGGGTTACTGAAGATCAGTTCTAACCCGGATCTTCACGGGTCGCATATACAAGGAACACCTTTGAATAGAAATTGACCTACGTGAATGCTTCGAGGTATCCTAGGTTCGACTCAACTGAAATATGAGGGAATATGTAGCTTTTATTCGAGACAGCCCTAAGTTCGAGTTTGTTTGTATGTTGTGTATGTATCTTCTACGTTATCAACACCACAGTTAACGGTAGTTCGGTCTCCCGAGATCAGCGAGTCAGACGTAAACTCGAATATTACATGCCACTTATCAGCAAACTGAAGCCGATATAATTCTATATCTGAGACATCCGAACCACCTAACGTTAATTACCGACCAAAAATCACATTAGGACTTACAGCGATCTTCTGACATGCCTTTAAATCCAGACAAGTTTGACCGAGATAGACACTCAAGTAGTACTTCACTGAATCAGCGTTATGTGCTGTGGGCATGGTTGTAATCAATACATTACATGGTGGAGTGGAGGGCACGGAGACGTCGAATGCTCCACAAATCTTCTGATATATATTATAGTTGACTGAATTGACTCTGGAATGACATTGTATGAATCGATGATGAATAGTTTCCGGATCAGATGTAGAAATAAATCCGAATGATTTAATAGCGGTGTAATTACGGTTAATGTTAAGTTGTAGTATGTTTGTCATTGGGCCATTTTTATCGCTGTGTTCGGGTCTACTTGAACCTGTGAATAGTGTTTCAATTTCACAGCTGGACAATCCTTGGTGTTCAGTCTAGTCTTGAACGGGCGTTATTCTGTTTGATATACGATATATTGAATCAATAACCAAAATTAATATGATTGTACTCCCTAAAATGAAAACATTTAAAATGTTTGTTTTTTCTAAAACATAAACGAAAGGTGACCATGTCATCTACCCATTTTCGGCAACTGTAGAAATCTAGCACCGCGTAATTGTTCAATCTTCTGGTTTCCGGTCTGTATGCAACACATGTGAGCACCCACATCACTGAGCGCCATGGAAGTGGTCGTTCTGTGAAGTCATTCTCGTACAACTATTGGACACACTTTTCAAATTTGTATACATGTGTGAGGGAATATGGTTTTACGTCGCCTTTAGCAATATTCTGTGGTATTCTGTCTTCATTTCGTTGATCACAAGCAAAGAAGGGTTGGAATTTTCACTTCAAAATGACATCAACATTTCAAGACGGAGTGAGTGGGTGAGTTGGGTTTTACGCCTCTGTTAGCAATATTCCAGCAAAATCACGGTGTGTGTGTGTGTGTGTGTGTGTGGAAGGAAGACACCAGTAATGGGCGTCACAGATTGCACCCATGTGGGGAATCGTACCCGGGTCTTCGGCTTAACGAGTGAACGTTTTAACCACTAGGCTACCCAACCGCCCCTTCAAAACGGAACGTAACAACCTGATTAGTAGTTTGGTATAACCATTGATTGCAGATTTGGGTGAGTACATTTTCATGTCTTCTGATATGACTTGCTTGATAACTTGCTTGATAACGGTGTTAGTACATGCTTATGTGGAGTAAATGCCATCAACAAGTACATCTATACGACGAGAGGTCACCCCTCATATTGCTCGCTTCACCACCAGGAAAACAGCATCCGAGAAACAAAACAGACAATGTGAATAGTTTTCTCTTCTGACTTGTTTGAGACACGCCCTGTCTGTTTGTCTACATAGATGCACGATTTCAGCCGTCTCCAGGAAGATGTTTATCGTCTGCTGAACGACGCCATCTGGTGGCATGCAGTGTTTTGGCAGACGACTTCCGGTACATCGGGGTCATCATGACCAGGATCAAGAGCTGAGCTACTGTAAGTAACACACTCCGGACAATCTTAGTACCGGTCAGCGATAATGACCATCTCCTCGATACTGGGTGTTTAACATTATCAAACGAACAAGATACACTACAGGGCAAAAGAAAGAATGCATCAATGTTTGATGGTGGCTGACATTAAACTAATAAAAAAGTAGCTATTTTATGTTGATGAATTTGAAGGTGTGTGAGTGAGTTTAGTTTTACGCCGCACTCAGCAATATTGCAGCTTTATGGCGGCGGTGTGTAAATAATCGAGTCTGGACCAGACAATCCAGTGATAGACAGCATGAGCATCAATCTACGCAACTGGAATACGATGACATGTGTCAACCAAGTCAGCGAGCCTGACCTCTTACGATAAGCAAGGGTTACTGAAGACCAATTCTAACCCGGATCTTCACGTGTCATGAATATGAAGGTATCACAGTTGTTCTGAATTGTAAGTTTACAGTAGTATGGCGATTGTGGCCATCTTAGTAATATTTTATAACGTTTTCAAGTTTTGCTGCAGTTCACATTGGCATATGGACATTTGGATTAGAGTGTGTGATTGAGGCGGTCTGTGACAACAGAGTCTGGTGCAGACAATCCAGTGATCAACAGCATGAGCATCGATCTGCGCAATTGGGATGACCACCCGATCCCGTTAGTACTTGGATTAGAATAGTGATACATTCGTCTGTACACACATATATATACAACTTTATTTACATGTTTCGGATATAATTACATTCAGGATGTACTATACATGTAGATGTTATTTGCCTGTCCGTTTCTTAGTTGACTGAATGTAGCGATCCCTTGTCGTGACATGCACCGCGCCATGTCCCGGAGGTAGATAAAGTTGCATGCCTCTGTCGTGTGCTAAAACCCGGAAACTTTGACCAAAATCCGGATGTAACTTAACCCGGGAAGAAACGACAATCTTATTAATGGATTCGAAACATTATTGACTTGGAAATTCCCACTGGCCATGGCATGATCCAACGATCAATTCTTTGCAATATTTCGCCTTTAATCACTCGAAATACATTGGTCACTGTTTCGTATACTATTAAACATGACCGAAGAAATCCTTTCAATTGTGGATTATTATTTTTGTTCTGTTCGCATCCCCAGATCACACTTCACTTCTAACGATAGTCTATTGTCTGTTATAGGCTGTTGACGCTGGTGATGAATTCATGTTGCACAGTCGGGCAAGGCGCCGCTTTTTTTTGTGCAAAGTTGCATATTTTATATTATGTGTGCAAGAAACGTATATAAGAGCAGAGTTGATGGTACTATTTCGTCTATATGAATATGTTTATGAATCGCTATCAATAGTGATGGTATCACGTGTTCGCGAAAAGCCGGTTTAAGACGAATTCATTGTCTAAAGAAACGTTACTTTAATCATTCTTGGTACGTCAGCACCATATACCTGTGTTCATGAGCTTCCCTTCAGTGAGTGGGCGGTGGGGTAGCCAAGTGGTTAAAGTTAAAGACCCAGGTTTGATTCCCCACATGGGTTCTCAATGTGTTGCCCAATTCTGGTGTCCACCCGCCATGATATTGCTGGAATATTGCTAAAAGCGGCGTAAAACCACACTCACTCACTCACTCACTCACCATAGTAGTGCTGGTCCCCACATCTCCAGTCGGTGATGCATCAGTAACAGTTTCAAAACTACATTAAGATCAATAGTTTTCTGGTCCAGAAACCATTCGAGCCTCGGTGGAGTTGGAACACATCATCTGACTGTAAACTACTCGCCCAAAGGATATGAATCAAACAGAAATCCTGTAGATCTAGAAATCCAATAAAGAAAATCATCTGACTTATTGTCTTTGTGCTGTGAAGATTACTCAGATCTTCTGGATTCAGCTGAATCATGAAATTGATGTAAACGACAATCGTAAATGAGTTGTATTAATCACAAGGTGAATTTCGCTGATGCATTTCGTTTGTTTTTTCATTGTCATTATTTATATACTGCTTCACTTGATGCGTTATGTTTACCCTCGAGCTCGGCAATGTCGTATACAAGAAGGGATGTTCGGCTCGGGGTCAAGTATTTGTGAGATGGATAGCCATGTTAACCAAGGCAGGGTATCTCAATCGGCTAGCATAATATAACCGACATTAGACCGGACTAGTACATCGCGTGTTGTGATCATGTTTTGTGTGTTAGTGCTTACAATATTGACTTAGAGAGCGAGTTTAGTTTTACGAAGCTTTTAGCAATATTTCAGCAACATCACGGCGGGGGACACGAGAAATGGGCTTCACACATTGTACTCATGTGGGGAATCGATCCCGGGTCTTCGGCGTGACGAGCGAACGCTTAACCACTAGGCTACCCCATCGCCCCTATTGACTTAGTGAGTGAGCTGAGTTTAACGCCGCAGTTAACAGTTAAATAATGCCCTTTGTTGTTAGCTAGGAGGAGATAAACCTGTAGAGAAACATATCATAGTATCCATAAACATTCAACTCAAACGCGAAGCAGGGGTGAGGTACTGAAAGATCATTCTTCACAACTGGGACGAATTCGGGATTCGAATACAGCGATCAGGGAATTCTACTTTAGCACACTCGACCCCACGTGGCCTTCCTCATCGATATAACTGGTAAACCACCGTTCGATAAAAAGACCCAATTCGGGATTCGAAACCAGAATCAGCGGAGCCTGACAATTGCGACATTCAGCCCACTCTATCCCCGCTAGAATAAATTGTCTGCCCATCGTCCTAGGCACGACTACAGAGACAGCGTTAGACGTGGACGGCGGTATATGTCCAGTTATACATATTTAATCCCTAAACATGCAAAGCGACACCTAAACCCGGCACCATGATTCCCCTAGCGACTTCTTACAAGCAAACACCGCCACTCGTCAGCCTGGTTCCCTGGGTCTGTTGCGCCTGCGCTACGCTCCGACACTGTCGGAGCGTAGCGCAGGCGCAACAGACCCAGGGAACCAGGCTGCGCTACTCGTCTGAGAATTAACCGCCTACACGCTCTCCTCGGGAACCGCAAATATTGACTATACTGTGCACAGTGCTCGTTCGATTGTTGAGCTTGTTTATTACGGAATATGCTCCGAAGTATATAGATCTGTTTGCACTTAGCTTATATTAGTTTAGAAACTTTTGACGGATAAATCAGCGGTTGTGCGGTTTATCAGTCTGGCCCGCGGATCACAGCGGACTCGTTTGACATTTACGTGCGAGTAGATTGTCTGTCTCATCAGAGACCATATAATATATGGTCTCTGGTCTCATTTGTCGTTTACTGAAGGTGTCAGACTGTCGAGGCTTGATTAAAAATATATATAGAAAGCCTTGATGTGTTGTACTTTTCCATGTTTTTTTACCTGAATCTGTGGTCAAGCTATCCGGTCGCAGTGAATGTTTGCTGTTTAACGCCGCAGTCAGCACTATTCCAGTATATGGCGGCGGTCTGTGAATAGTCGAGACAATCCAGTGATCAATACCATGGGTATGGATCTACGGAACAGGAATACGATGACATATGTTAACCACGTCAGCCAGCCTGACCACCCGATCCCGTTAGTCGCCCCTTACGACAAGCATGGGTTACTGAAGACCAAGTCTAACCCGGATCTTCACGGTCCGAGGTGAATGTCTTCGGTGGATATGCTGGCTCAGTCCGGTTGGTCATATTTGCATTGCTGTGACGTTATAGTGTTTAAACTGTCATGATGCTGATTTTTCTAAAATTTATTTTTTTCAGTTGTATTTCAGTTTTCGGAAAAGGTTTGAGTGAAACTAAAAGGGCCAGCCAAGTTTAAACGTGTGGTAAACACGCCGAAACCCTGTCTACAAAACAGGAAGTCCATTTTTGTTTCTAGCCGTTACTGGTGCTGGAATATTGCTGAAAGCGGCGTAAAACCATAATCACTAGTGTGTAGGAGTGAAGGTTATTCCTGCGATTGTTATACATGCTTGTTCTTAAAGGAAGACCAAGTTCTATCGACAGTCAAGTCCTTTAATGCAATGAGTGCGACGTTTCGGTGTAGGTACTCACACCCTTATCAAGCAACTGCTTGATAAGGGTGTTAGTACCTACACCGAAACGTCGCACTGCTTGATAAGGGTGTGAGTACCTACACCGAAACGTCGGACTCATTGCAATAAAGAAGTTGACTATCCATAGAACTTGGTTTTCCTTCATCTATACAACTTCTAAAATGCCTCTCAAAGAAGTTACATGTTTGTTCTTATTCAAACAAAAGCCAGGAAAACCATTCCAGGAAAGTTATGAAAACAAGTTATGAAAAAAAGTAAAAGTTTGAAATTGACCAGGGTCCTGTTGTACAAAGCGATCGTAAGGTGATCGTAACACCGTATGTTAACATAGACTTACAACTGTTGTAGCTAAGGTTTCTTTGTACAACGGCGCCCTGTGTTTTAAAATTCACAAGCCATACATTCCAATAAATGGCATCATTCGCGTGTTCAGTTTCGAAGACCTTAGGTAAAAACCCAGCTGGAACCTTTAATCAATTCTCCGATGTCCTAATGGCATCCTGCAAGCCAGCGCGCACCAATTACACACCATAATCGTTTTCCGAAGAAGAAACTGATTACTTTTTACCACTGATCCTGTCCTTTTTTTTCTAATTTCCGTGTTTGTTTTTATTCACCATGGAAGTAAAACGGTACAAAACATAGCTTCAGTCACCGTAACAAAGCATATAATTCTATTTTTTAATCGTATTTAATGATTAGACAAGTAGCAGAACCCTTTATTTCGCCTTGATGATTGCTAAACTGTCGTATGTACGCGCGATAATTAACTGAAATGAAGTCCCCCGAGGCAATTGTAAAGTTTGGACTAAACCAGGAAACGGAATACGGATTTATACCGATGAGTAGATAATGACGCACTGGCATGGGATAATTGATTTTGTTTAAACACTGGCCTCCCGAGGGGCATTTGTTAATATCTAGTTCCACTGGACAATGTCCGTGTTGGACCATCTGGAAAATAGACGATCATGCCGAAATCACGTGACAATACTGATATTTACCGGGAAGCTATTTTACGCCTTGTTCTGAAATATCTGATCCAAGGGCTATAGTAAATTTTTAAACCAACCACGCCTGGTTAATATATTTAAAGTGTCGAGTTTGAGTTAAAAGTAACATGAGGGTCATCATTATCCTTGAAATATGTCTACCTCAAATTACACATTGGGCGTAGGAATAATCCGTGTGGAAACGAAATTCCGACTCCTCTGTTGTGTAAACGTATCATTAACTGGCTCTGCCTTTGGAAAAAACAGCATAGGTTTCATATATCAACACAGTTAATAAATGAGGCTGCTTCGTATATTTAAACGTTTCGTTTCATGAATTTAACCATGCTTTTTTATTTTTATTTGTACTGATTCAGAATGTCGTTTCCTTTCGAACGTAAGGTAAACAACGGTTATCTCGAATTCAAAGGGGCCGTTTATTTAATTCGTTTTAACCGTAATTCGTTATAATCATTTCGGGTTAAATATACAGCACGTGACCGAGGCCGAAAAATGTTCGTTATATCCACCAGTTCGTTATATGCATGTTCCTAACAAACGTAGTTTGCTGTTTCATTGAGTAGATTTATACCTTGTACATACCCTAAGTAAAAGTTATGTCACAAGCTTTTCGTGACAACTGATATAAATGTTGATTTAATTCACTGCCTATTAAATAAATATTTTATTGTTCTCTGTGTCACATTGTACTTATATTTCAGGAATGCAAACATTAATCTGAATTAATTCTTGTTCGACGAGGGCGGTGGGGTAGCCTAGTGGTTAAATCGTTGGTTCGTTACGCCGAACACCCGAGTTCGATGTAGTTGACTAACACCGTTTTCTTTAGTAGAACACAGTCTAAGTAAACTTAGGCTCAGTATTATTCGTTACACTGCTATACTGAGGCTAACAAACCCTAGTAGAAGGTTGCGCGCCAACAATAGTGTTTCAATAGTGTGTCACGATCAAGCACATACTGTGTACATACATTTAGCGTATCATATACTTATGGCCGCCATGGTCTTTACGTAAATATCAAACACTACTGAGTTCCGATCCGCAAAGCGTTCGTAACGTTACGAACTGTCGTAACTCTATACAAACCGAAACATAAATTTCGTGAACCAATACAGACAATATCCTTCCTACTTTACAGCCGATTCTAATTTTCACGTGTGAAAATGAAAAGAGACACTACAAACAACTATGGTTACACGAAATTCCAATTCCTTGTTTTCCAGGAAAATGGTATTTACAAATGAATTTTAATTTTAAACTTTAAAAAAATCGTATTTCTATATTTTATGGCGAGGTTTAGGCAGCATGACGTTAACTAAAACGTCACAGACTGCCTCTGTTTGATGAAGTCGTAAAATGATTCACAATTCATCTAGCTCACTGGTTACAACTGTTATGTGTTCCTTGCGCTTATTAAATGTATTTCTGTAGCGTACAATGTGATTGATATAATATCATGGCTGACAAGGCCGCCAAACGTGTCTAGCGGCCGAGCCTCGTTTTGAGATTTCCACGATTTCCGTTTGTCAGAGCACGTTGTACGACAAAGCATGCTGCACGACGTATTTGCAAGGATTAGAAGGAGCGTAGTGTTGCGATATACAAGTGATTAGATGTATCAATTATACTGATTAATATTTATATATCCAGTTGAATGAGTTGGTCTAAAAGTTCTGGACTGGTTATTGTACTAAGTTGCGCAATAGGACGGAAACAGCAGAAAACGAGATTGTTATGTAATCAATGTTTTGACTTGAGTTAATCACAGGTTT